TTATTTGCCGTTTTAACTTATTGAGTTCCTTCACTTCTCTGTTCAGGGAAGGGGCAGCAGCATCCTCCTACTGTCCGTCCGTCCGTCCGTGTCTCGGGCAGGGTGGGTCTGGGGCCGAGGTGCCCCGAGGACGGAGCCTTGCGGCGTCTGGGGCAGGCTGGTGGATGCAGCGCCGGCAAGCTACTGTAAACTTTAAAGAATTCCTGCAAGATATTTTTATAAACTTTTTTCTCGGTTGTTTTTGGAAAAGGGCACGGGGGAGGGGAGCCGCCGGGCGGGGCGGGGCTGAGTTCGGTTCTTGCTCTTGGTCCTTCCTCTGCGCATGCGTGTTTGAACAGCAGCGCGGTCCGCGCCGTCTGCCCGTGCACCCTGGGCGGGAGCGACTCCAGTGCTGTGGGCGCCGCCGCCCAGGGCCCTCCGCCAGGCCCGGCCGGGCACCCGCTTGGTTCTGGGTCCGAGAGCAGGGCGGGAGGAAGGCCCTGAGCTGGCCCCACCCACTCACAGGAAGGCAGGGCACCACAGGGTTTTTTATTAAAAAGACAAAAAGTGAAAAAAAAAAACCACAAGCAAGGACAGGAAGTCAGCAGGTCCTGTGTGGCGTGCTTTCTGCGCAGCGAGGTCGTGGGTGCGGCCGCCTCCCGCTGTCCCCGCCCCCAGCTCCTGCTTGTGCCTCCTCCCCCAGCTGGCGCGGCCCGGGCCTCTAGGGCTCCGCCGCCGCCGCAGCCGAAGGCGGGGCCGGCCCTGACTGCATGCCGTCGCTGTGATGGGCCACTCTGCTTCCGGCGTCGCCCGCCTCCCGCCCGCCCGTCCTCCGCTCGTGGGGATTTTAACGCTGCTGTTCCACGGACCCCCCGCCACAAGCTGGGACTTCCACACGCGAGAAAAACTTGACACCCACCACGGCGAAGGCGCGCGGCGCCCGCGGGAGGGCCGCGCGGACGCAGAGGACACGGAAAGCAATATCTCTCGTCGACCCTCCTCTTTCGTACGCGGACGCACGCACACGCGGACGCCACGGAAACGGACACGCCCCACCCCGTGCACCCCTGTCAGATACCTGTGAGCAACTTTAGTTCCGGAACAATAAACTCCTTCCGTAAAGACACCGACGCCAGTCTCCGTGCGCGTGGGCGGGGGTGTGGGCGACCTGGGGCCGCCGGCTCTCATCCCCGCCGTGGGCGCCTCCGTGCTCTGCCTCCGCGGAAGAGGACGGCCCCCCGTGCGGGGGTCACGGCGTCCCCACGGCCGCCCCAGCCTGAGCTGCGGTGACACACTGGGCCGGGCTGGGAGCAGAGGCCCAGGGACACGGGGACGAGCGGGCCCAAGGCGGAGGAGGAGCACCACCCCTGGGTGGCCATGGCCACTCAGCTGCCGCCCCAAGACCGTAGGGGTCATTCCGGTGCCCGGGCTGCTCCCTGGAAGGTGAACCTTCTTTTCGACCCTGTTTTTGGAAAAGGCAGCTGCAGCCCCAGGAAAGGGTGGGCCAGGGCCAAGGCTAAGGCCGGCCTCCTTCCTAGGGGGGTCCTCCCAGCCCCAGTGCCCACCAGGCAGGAGCCGGGCACCAAGCCCACGCGCCAGCCGGCCACCCCCTGCAGCTGCACCTCGAAGGGCAGGCCCGGCCCCGTCGTGAGGGCGGTGGCCTGGGGGAAGGGCTGGCGAGCTCACCCCGGCCCCAGCCCTGGAGTCCGAGCAAAGGTCGCCCTGCCCTTGGAGCCGCAGCCCCACGTGCTGCCCACGAGTGAGGATCCGGCCGGCACAGTCAGGGCCCCTCCACGGCCGCATGGACGCCCAGGGCGGTCCCCCGTGGTGGCAGCGTCCTGTGCCTCGGGCACGTCAGCGCCATCCCTGGGTCGCCCACCCTGGCGTGGCCATCAGACCCCCTCGCAGACGCCACCCCAAGTCCCCTGGGGGTGCAGGCGGCCGAGTCTGGCCTGCACCTCCTGCCGGGGCGTGCCTGCCCCTCCTCTGGCTTCGAGGGGAGCCGGCTGACACGGCGGAAGGCCCTCTGGAGGACATGGAGGGTGCCAGGCTCCTGGCAGGTGCCCGGCGTCCCGTAGTGAGGGGGTATGGTGGCTGGGACCCCGAGCTGCCGGCCACGGAGGAGGGTCCTGACCCCTGCTCTGGCTCCGCTTTCCCGGAGGGGTTGCGGGCCCGCGCCGGCCTCCCCGCCTTCCCCGCCAGGCCCTCCGGACACCCGCAGCCCCTTGTGCCAGGCACACGGCCGGGGTCCGCCAGGAAAACACCACGGCACACCCACCGGGCCCGCCGCCCGCCCCGTGGGCGGGGCTTCCTCCCCAGCCCCGCCCCCGACGCAGCGAGCCCCCGGGTTGGAAGTAGCAGGAACCAGGTCGGCTGCCGCCGTCGGCGCTGACGGGGAGCGGCACGAAGCTAGGAGCGCAGGCAGAGAAACCGCAGTCGGACGCACGGGGTGCCGGGCGCCGCTGGGAGCTCGCAGCCCAGAGCACCAGCCATGCGGGCCTCCCTCGGGCTCCGGGAGGTCGGCCGGCAGGGGGCTGGGTGCGGGCAGCCTCTGGGGCCCAGCCGCAGACAGCAGCCGACTGGCACACGGCTGGGGCTGGGAGCAGCACCGCGGCAGGACACCCCCCACAGCAGTCGTGGGGAGGGGCAGGAAGACAGGACGGCGGCCCTGCCCCCACAGGGCTGCGTGCCAGTGGCCGGCACAGGCGGGGCGCTGGCGGGAGAGCTCTGCTGGGCCCCGACTGGCTGAGCCCTCGGGGGGCCGTGGAGGCCGAGGCAGAGCAGCCCTGGGCTCCGTGAGACCTCCGGACCTGGGTGGGGGGCGGGGGGCGGCCTCCACGTTCCGCAGGTTGGCACTCGGCCACAGCAGCTGCACCCACACCGCCAGTGCCAGGGGGCGACCCCCGCAGAGGGCCTGGCCCTCTCGCTCTCGAGGCCGGGGGCCCCCTACCCTCGACCCCCGCGACCTGAGTCGCCAAGTCTGGTGTCCCTTCACTGACCCCCCCTCCGCCCGCCACCAGCAGGGGGCTCAGCGAGGGGCGGGGGTCAGCCGAGGGCGGCTGGGACCGCCCGGTGGGAACGCCAGCCCGGACCTGGGCCCCGGCAGGACGGCGGGGTCTGCGCCTCCCAGCAGGGTCCCTGGGTCTGGCCCCAGCCGGGTGCTGCCGCCGCGAGCCTCCCGCAGCCCCGCAACAGCAGTTCCAGCCCGGGGCCCAAAGCGGTGTCTCGTGCGCTGAGCCTCACAGAGCCACAATTCGGGGAGGACTCGGGCGCCCGAGGGTCCGGGACACAGGCCCTTTCCTGGAGGTCCCCAGCTTCAGGGGCACCTGCCCTTCTGGGCTGCAGGCCCATCCTCTGCCTTCCCAGCCAGCGGCGTCGGCCACCTGCGGGCCTCCCGCTTGCCACCAGAGGGAGCCCTGCGGTCACACTGCACCCCCCCCCCCCACCGCCCCGACCTCTACCAGTGCTGCCTGCCGCTGGTCTCCAACTCCACCTGCAGCCTGACCTCTCCTAAGCGGTGACACTCGGTGACCTTCGCAGGTGCCAGGGATCAGGATCAGGACAGGTGGAGAGGAGGGCACCGGCCCCCTCATGCCAAATACCCCCTCCCCCCAGGTCCCCACGTCTTGGCCCGTCAGAACGGCGTGTCACCCCACACTTCGGGGAGACACCTGGTCGGGCAGCAGTGAGCCCCCGAGTGTGGGGCCCCTCCCAGCCCGAGAAGACTCCTCCCCAGGGGCCTCCAGCAGGACACACGGCACCTGCCTCCAAAGCCAGGGCGGACCGGGCCCCGGGTGCCGGCTGTGGGCGCGCCAGCCACCCGGTGAGGAGTGGAAGGGGGGCTCGCCGGTCCCCAGCAGTGTCAGAGCCCAGCGGGCCAGCCGCAGAGCACATGGCTACAGGTCTGGGAGCCCACGGCGGTGGGTGGCTCCTCGGCCTGAGCCTGCCCTCTCTGGAGGTCCCTGCAGGGACAGGGACGGGCCAGTGGCAGCGGCGCCAACCCCACCCGGCCTCCCCCAGAGGGGCGGAGCTGCGGGTGCTGCTGAGGTGCAGCCTGGACAGACAGGAAGTGGGGTGGCTGCCCCGCCCCGAGCCCCGGCCAGGCGGTGGGGGCGGCACGCGCCCCAGGGAGGTGGCGGTGGACTCCAGGGGGCAGAGCCTTCACGCAGGACGGTGGCATTTCCCAGGCGTCCCAAGCACCAGTCAGTAGGACACATGGGTGGAACCTTCTGGAACAACTGACGTGCACCCTCAGGCTGAGTCGGCAGGGCTGGGACTTCCAGCACCAAGAGTTGGGCAGCTGCTGCCGCTGACCCCTGTGCACCCGCGGGACAGCCCTCTGATGCAGGCGGGGGCAGCCTTAGTGGGGAGGCAGGAGCCAGGTGGTGAAGACGAGGCACCCAAGGGTGCACTGGACTGTATGGGGAGCCCCAAGGCTGTCGGGAGGCGGCCACCCCTCAGGGGCAGGGTGGGGCTGCTGACAGTGCCGGGAGAACAAGGCAACCAGGGCCCTGTGGGAGACAGAGGCCCGGTCCCCACCGGGGGAGAGGTGCACGGGGGCCAGTGTGCTCGCAGCAGACTGCCAGAGAGGGCTGCCCCCATCGCCAGCTGGGACGCCGGACCGGGCAGGGGCCTGCCAGCGTGCCCTCTCCTCCGCCCGCCCGCCCGCAGCTCGGGCGGGCCCCAGGCCCAGCCCCAGCACATGCCCTCTGCGCCCGCCCTGTGCCAGGCTGACGGGGAAGCCCCAGCCACTGCGGCCTGCACTCGAGGGTCCTGTCACCTGCACGGCAGGCACAGCGCAGGGACAGTGGACCGGGCCCCCCACCCCGGCTTCCCGCGGCAGTCCTGCTGCAGGCAGGGTCAGTGGGCGTGGGTGGGCACCCACGAGAACGCCAGGCCCGCCCCAGGGTGTGAGCAGGGCCCCCGGAGGGGTGGGGGGACAAGGTGGGTGGGGGACAACAGTGACTGCCCGGCCGGGCCACCTCGACGCGGCCCCCAAGACGCCAAAGACACACAGGCGGTGACCTGAGAGAATCCTTTTATTCAACCCAACAGGCGAGCAGAGCGCGGGCCCCACCTCTGCCCACGGCGGCGTGTGCACACAGGAGGCGGCCCCGGCCCAGGCCCCGCCAGTCCAGAGCGCCCTCCTAGGCGGTGGGGGCAGGGGGAAGGGGGGCGTGGGCTCGGGGCCCCTGCAGGGCGCCACCAGCCTCTCTGCACCCCCTCGCCCAGCCTCCAAGGGCCAAGACCCAGGCATGGCCGGGCGGCGGAGGAACGGGAGGGTCTGACGTGACCCAGCCCTGACACGCGAAGACACCAGCGGGCCCGGGCCCAGCAGGAGCCAGACCCACGCGTGAGCGATTTCTCTCAGAACGCACGCAGGCAGAGCGCCCGGGGAGGCGGGGCCGGGCACAAGAAGACCAAAGAGAGGAGCCCGCAGGGGGAGCGGAGCGGCGGTCCGTGAACTGCGCTGAGCGAAGGCAGGGGTCCCAGGCGCTTCGGACAAGCGACGCCCGCCCGCCCGTCCGGCAGGGACGGCGTGTGGGGCCCACACCCAGGTGGCCCGGCCCGCGCCGCGTCGCCGCTTGGACCTCCCGCCAGGGCGCCCAGCAGGCGGGCGCGCGCGCGCAGGCGCACGGGCCGTCTCTGCACACATGCACGCCCGTCCGGCGGTGCGGCTCACCTCTCCTTCACGTGGTTCTGTGCCCCGGGGCCCCCGCCGCCGGCCCCATCCCCGCCGCCCCCGCCGCGGCCCGCGCCGCTGCACAGCGCCTCCGTGAGGTCGTCCATGACGGCGGTCTCTTTGGGGTCCAGCAGGTTGAACTCCCTGGCGAAGAGGATGAAGTGGACGTAGAGCGTGTTCAAGTGTCCGTGCAGCTCGAGGGCCAGGGTCTCCTTGAAGTGGGACGAGTAGATGTGCGCCAGCACGTGGAACAGGTGCCTGCAGATCCTCTTCACCAGGGACTCGAAGGAGCTGGGGAACTCTCGGCCTGTGGGGGCGGGGCCTCACTGCGAGCGTGCCGCCACCGCCCCGCCCCCTGCCGGTGCCCCCCCCCCGCCCCACAGGCGGACCCGCCCCCCGTCCTCGGTGAGCCGCCTGCCGGCAGGCAACAGCCCAGCACTCCCTGCACCGCTGCACCCTGGGGCCTGAGTCCCGGGGTCCCGTGGGCTTCCCTCTACGTGGCCTAGGCTGTGGGGGACCAAAGTCCCTCCCACCGGCCCAGCAAGGCCCCTGGAAGCCGGGGACGGCCTGGAGCCCCCGCCAGGCCCCGCCCACCCCCGCTGCACACGGCCACAGGGGCTGCTCAGGCACCCCATGCCCCCGGCAAGCCGGTGGGGCTGCTGTCCTAGGCTGTCCGTCAGGCCGGGTGGGGCCAGCCACCCCGCACCGCCAGGCGCCGCGCGAGACGTACCGTACTTCGTGGGGAACACGTCCTCGTCCGTCACCAGCTTCTGCACGGAGCTCATGACGAAGTCCACGTACTGGGGGGCCGTGCACTTGACCTTCTTCCCCCTCTCGTCATACCAGTAGTACTGTCTGTGGGAACCGAGGGGCCGTCATGGCGCCGCCCCCCGCACCGCCCCCACGGTCTGGGGGTGGGGGCTGCCGCGGTCGGGAGGTGGCACCATGGGGCTGGCCTCCCTGGTGGGCGTGTGGAGGCGCCCGCGCCTCTGCTCCCAGAGCCCCTGGGGACAGGCCCCGGGGACCTGCCACCGCTTAGGACGAGGGGTTGGCGTGCACGCACGGAGCAGCGTCCAGGACAGACGCGCCCTCTGAACTCGGGCAGGAACGCCCACAGGAGCCCCCGCCCCCCCCCCACGGCTGGGCTCTCGGCGGTCTGCTCGCCAGGGCCGCCCCCCCCACTGCCTACGAGGCCCTGCCCCAGGCGAACCCAAGGCCGGTCCCGGCCGCTCCGCAAGAAGGTGAATGAACCTTCTCCCTGCCTGCAGGGCTGTGGGGTCCCCGTGCCAGGCGGAGAGCCAGGCCTCCAGCAGGGAGGCCCCACGGGACAGGGCCCAGCACCCCAGGGGTCCTGGGCGCCTGCTCCCGTCCCGGGTGCTGGCTCGGGGTGCACGCACCTGGGCACAGGTCAGAATCTCAGAAGAACAAGTGTGGCTGCCAACCGGGACACGGGCGCCCGTGCCAGGAGGCCCGAGGACAGCTCCCAGGGGATGCTGGGGGCCGGTGCTGAGACGAGCACCGTGTTCCCTGTCACCCCCTCTGTGGGGCGCGCTCACACAGGGGCCACCAGAGAGGAGCTCCTGGGCCCCTGCTGGGCCCCCAAACCCCTGCCGGCAGGCGTCCAACACCCTGGCTTCTGCTTACAGAAGCTGGGACTCCCCTACCGTGCTGCACTCAGCAGGGGGCGGGCCCCCAGGAACGGCTGCTCGCTGAGGACCGCCACCCACCCAGGCAGCTCTGGCCTCGCCCCACCCACATGCACAGCAGGAGCCCGGGGGGCGGCCTTCACCGGAGGAACCGGTGGCCGGAGCAGGGAAGACCAGCAGCCTCCGGGGCTTGCGGTCTCAGGAAGCCTGTGGAGTCTCACGGAAAGGCCCCCATCCCCAGAACAGGGCCTGCTGGCCCGTGGCCGCGTCCTGGTGCCCCACGCCCGGGGGCCCACGCGGCCGTGTCCCTCCCCTGCTGGGCTCTGCTTCCTGCTCCCCCGCCCGGCCGCAGGCCCCAGGTGCCCAGTGTTGGGGACCTCGCTCGGGCCTGGGAGGGTGGGGTCTGAGGGAGAAGAGGGCGGCAGCAGGGCCAGGCCCCACAGCCCACCCGAGCCCCCGGGGCCCGCGGCAGCCGGCGGCACTCACGTGTTGCACACGGCCATGGTCTGGCAGGCCTCCGCGGTGCAGAACTCCGAGACGGTGCTGTACTGCAGGTTCACGTGGTGGAAGAACGTGGTGGCTGGGGAGCAGAGTGGGGCGGCGTGAGCACGGCCGCCGGGGGCCGGCCCGGCGGTCTGTGCTCGGGCCTAGGGCGGCTGGCACTTCCGACCAGTGACGGAGGCCCTGGCGTGGAATGGCAGCCTCAGGAGCAGCCTCTGGCCACCGTCAGACAGGCAGACGCAGGCCTGGCCAGAGCCCCACGCTGGGCGGGGGCCGGGGGCCAGTGAGCCTGAGCCCTCCCACGAGCCGGGGGACATCCCACCCCCACGACAGTCAGGGCCCCCGGACACAGACCAGCTGGACTGGGGGCACCGCCTGGGCACTGGCTGAAGAGAAGCAGCTCCACCCTCCGCCCGCCGAGCTCGCCGCCCGTCCCCATGGAACCCCACCTCCAGTGCCAGCGGCCCCTCCGGACACCAGACCGGGCAGGACGCCCACTGAGTCCCCTCCATGCGCCAGCTTCCAGCCGACCTGAGCGACGAGCCAGCTGGGGGATGACACCTGGGCCACAGGCCCTGCGGCAGCCCACCCTCCGCAGAACTCTGTGGGCCCCCAGGGACCCGGGGGCGGCACCGTCACGGCCTTGAGGCGAGTGGCCCGCCCGCCCTGCCCGGCCCGCGGCCCCACGCACTGTTGCTGGCCAGCCACTCGTTGAGGTCGATCTCCCGGGGCAGCGCCACCAGCTCCTTGAACTCGCAGTCGGTGATGCGGGACTTGGCGTGCTCCGGGTCCAGGTACGCCTTCTTCTCCTCCGCGGCCGGCTTCTTCCCGTTGGGCTTCGCCTTGGACTTCCTGCAGAAGGAGAGAGCCGTCACTGCGTGGAGTGAGTGCAGGCAGGGGCTCCGCGCCCGGCCCCCTGGACGAGCAGGGCCATCTCCGCTGGTGCCATGGGCACCGGGGGGTCTCCCGGAGGCGCCTTGGGAGACCCTGCCCTGCCAGCCACCGTCCTCCCGCTGCCAGGCAGAGGGGCACGCAAGGACGCCAGCCGCTGGCCTGCTGTCTCGGGGCCAAGCCTGGGACTCGGGGCTCCCCCCGACCTGGGACACCCAGGCCTGCAGCCAGCCTGGCCGGTGCCAGGGACCCAGCCCCTCAAGGCGGGGCGGGACCCCTGAGCAGCGGCCGGCAGGCGGGCGTCCTTACTGAGCACCTGCTGGGGGCTGACGCCCCCTCGCCCGCCAGGGGCCCCGTCGGCTCGGGCTCCACGACCCCCTCCCCGCACCCCGTCCTGCCTGCCCGCCCGCCCGCACCTCCCCAAGAGCGGGGTGCGGGTTTGCAGGGGCAGGTGGATGGGGGCCGGATGCCACAGAATTTGCAGAAGTGGCCCCTTCTCACTGAGGCCGTCCCCTGCTCAGGAGCCGAGACCCTCCCCACAGAAGGGCACTCTCATCCACTCCGGAGCAGCCTCGCGCAGCCACCTGCGTGGGGGCGACGACATTTCCCCGAAGCCCGTCCCCACGTGAAGAGTGGACCTGCCAGGCCTCCCTCCTGCCTCCTCCCACTCGGGGGACCGTGGTGCGTGGGGCTGAGGCGGGCCAGCGAGGCGGCCTGCCCCTTGAGCTGCCCAGGACACAGGCCACCGTGTCTGTCCCCTGCTGCGTGGGGAGGGCCGTGGGCCTACAACCCAGGGGGGCCCTGGTCGGGGAGCGGGCCCGGCCCCCCAGCGCACCCTCGGGGTCCTCAGACTCGGGGAGGAGCGGCCGCTGTGCCTGCCGCCACCCCCCCGCCCGGGGTGGGTGAGCTGTCTGTGGGGGGTGGGGGGGGTCTCTGCAGGTCCCCGGCCTGGCCCTCCTCTTGTCCCGCTCCGACAAGCCGCTGGGGCTTGCGTAAGAGAAGCAGGAGGAAGAATGTGCCCCGAGCGCCAGCAGACGTCCCCTTTCCCTTGCACAGCAGACCTTCTCCTTAAAAGGCGACGTGCGCCGGTCTCTGGGGACAGCACTGGGAGCGGCCGGGGCCCGGCGGGGCCGCGCATCCTGGGGACAGGGGGGCGGACCCGACCCCGACCCAGCAATCCTGACCTTGCCCGTGGAGGGGGGCCGGCGCAGCGCGGTCGCGCACGCAACACACAGTGGGCCCTTCCAGGGGCCCCAGGGTGGGCGAGGCCGCCCCCTGGGAACAAGTGCCCCTGGCCGGCACCGGGCTGAGTGCACCCCGGTATCTGCCAGCACGCTCCCTGACAGGGGTGGGTGGGTGGGCGGGCCAGGCCCCCCTGCTGCAGCCCTTCCCCGGCCCTGGGTCTCTGCTGCTGGGTGTCAGAGGGCGGCGGCGGCCCAAACGCCCTTGTGCCTGTGACCCTGGGCGGGAAGGACCAGCCGCCCACCCTCTGGTGCTCAGCACACACGTGGCCCCCGCCTCCAGGTCTGGAGCGGCCCACCGTCGTGAGGGTGGGGAGGGGCGAGGTGGGGGCCCCGGCTGGGACCCCCCTGCCCCCTCCCCCCTGTGCTGTCTCGGAGCCGGGTCACCGGGGGACTCACCGGCCCACTTGCCTCCCGTCCATAAGATCCTCCCGATACCACGCAGCTCGTCTCACCCGCAGGGCCCCGCAGCCACCCACCACGGCCCGACACAGACACGGGGCCCACGGGTGCTGGGCAAGAGCCCGAGGGAGGGAGCGGGGCCCGAGGGACACAACTGAGGGTGCTGGGGGCGCTGCTCTCGCGGCCACGGGACAGAGCCCGGCTCTCGGGGCCCAGCCACCCCGCAGCGGCCCCCACCCGCCCACGCAGCGCGCCTGAGGGCGGCCGGGCTGGAGGTGCACCCTGAGGGAGCCCTCTGAGTGCCCAGCGCCAACCCTGCCCCACAGCCCGGGGGAGCCCGTGGCCCCAGGCCCACCGGCAGGCCCGGCCCCACTGTCCAAGGGGCAACAAGTAATGAGCGGGTGCCGAAACCTGGGCGCACCTTCGAGGCACCGGCCGTGCTGGGCGAGCGGCTGGAGGTCCCTGGGAACAGGATGAGTGGCACCTGCCAGGGAGCAGGCAGGGCGCCACGCTCCCTCCCCTCTCCTGGGGTCCCGCTTGGCCTACTGTGTGCGTAAGGTCCTGTGTGCCCCTAACCCCCACCCCCCCCGGGTGCTGGGAGCGCTCGGGCCCTGCCAGCAGAGGGGCGAGGGCAGGTCCAGGAGGGGGGCCGCGGGAAGGGGAAGCACGGGGACCCTGCGAGCGGGGGGGGCCAGGCCAGAGGTGGCTGCGGACTGAGGGAGAGCTGTCAGGCATGGGGGTGGGGCCGGCGGGCAGGGGCAGCACAGCCCGAGTCCAGGCTCCTGGGAGCTCCTCCAGGACACAGGTCAGGACCGTGGGGTCAGCCCTGCCCCTGCCCCCCCCCCCCCCGGTGGCCAGGCCCAGACACACGGGGACTGCTGCCAGGGCCCTGCACCCCCCAGCACCGCACCGTCCCCAGGACTGGGGAACCGAGGGCTCACTGCCACCCTGATGCCCCAGTGCCTGATGCAGGGCCCTGGGGTGGGCCTGAAAGCGTCCTTCCGATGAGTGGGGGCTCCCGCAGGGCCCCCGTCAGTCCTCCCCAGCTGCGGCCGACCCGATGCCACGGGGGACACGCAGACCGTCTCTCTTGGCTGCAGCCGCCCAGCAGCCTCAGCCCTCGGCCCACAGGTCCCACGCCCACTCCTCACACCTGGCCGAGTCCCCCGTGGGGCCGGGGCCGCCACACACCACGGCGGGCGGGGGGCTGCCGCAGGGCTCAGCTCTGCCCACTGCGCACACGGGCGTGCATGGCCCACAGTGTGCACACACGCGGACCCCTGCGCCATCCCAGACGGCCACCGTTCCCGATCCGACTCGCCCCGTCCCCAGACCGCACGGCTGGCCTGAGAGGGCACCATGCTGGCGGGTGGGTGCCGGTGTCCCCCTGTGACTCAGCGGGGCCCTGGGGGGCACGCGGCTGACCTGCCGTGCACGAGAGCCCTGTGGAAGGGGCGGCGGGAGGCCCAGACACACACCGCCCCCCGCCAGACCCCTCACAAGCCTAGCTCGCTGACAGCGCAGGACAGAAGTGGGGGAACGGGAGACCCCCCTCATGTAAAGAGCTGCACCCGGAAGCGCACAGGGGGACCCCGACTGGGGCGCGCCGGTGACACCTCTCGGTGACGGCGGCACTGCCCCAGCCCCTCCAGGCCCCTCCCTGCTGGGCCCCGGCACCCACACAGGCACACTCCCCCAAACACCCGCCGGCGCAGCCGCTGCCACTCGGACACACAGGGCGCTGCGGGGCCGCGTCTGGGGCCTGGGAGGCCCAGCTGCGCTGGGCCAGAGGAGGCGGTGGTGGACGGAGCAGGGCAGGCTTCTCCGGTGAAGCCCCGGCAGCCCCTGGCCGCCCGTGGCCCCGCCAGGGCTCTGGACGAGGCAGCTCCCGGACCGGCGCCGGTCTCCCTGCGTGGTGGGGAAGGGCCCGTCCAGCAACCTTGGGCGGGGAGTGGGGGGGGGGTGCGGCAGGGCTGCTGTGGCCAGAAACACTGCCCAGTGGGTGGGCCGAGCCCCCCTCCCGGACGCAGCAGGACCCCTCCACGGCAGGGGCACACCCCCGCCCCCCAGCAACAGGAGCTGCGGGCGTTCAGGGGAGGCCTCCTGCCCAGACCCCCGCGGTCGTGCCCCTCCTCAGCCCGACCCCAGGGGCAGTAAGACAACCACCCCTCAGACCTCCCCCCCCAGTTCACCTGAGCACTTTGCCGACTGCCTGAAGCACCATTTTACAGCTGAGCCCAGCTTTGGGGGACTGGCTGAGCAGAGCTCGGTCTGCAGGGTGCCTGCTGTGCCCCCCCAGCATGCTGGGACAGTGCAGAGATGGAGAGGGAAGTGGGAGCCCCGGCTACACCGCCCCCCCACCCCACCCCGCCCTCCCAGGCGCCCCGCCCAGAGCACAGCGGCAGCCAATGAGGGCCGCGGGAAAGGAGGGCTCCGCTGGGCAGCTCACACAGCCGCCCCTTTCACAGGCCAGGCCCCAGGGGGACGAGGGTGTGTCCCAGTCGACTTTTCAAAGTGGCGCCTGGCGGGCGGGCGCTCTGCGGGGAGGGCAGAGCCCCAGGGAGGGACCTGTGGGGGGGGGGTGCTGAGTGGCACCTCGAGGCCCTTCTGGCACTGTGGGGAGCAGGCGGCAGCCCTGCCCAGCAGCTCCAGAGCCCACAGCACCCCTCGCCTGACCCCAGCCCCGAGAGACGAGACGCCAGGGGGCGCCCCCCCGGGGGGCGAGGCCCTCGGCATGCCCCCCTGCGGACGGCCTTGGAAAGACCAGGCCGGCAGGCTTCGGGGCACCCAGACCGGGCACTCCCAGGCCCTGCGGGGGCCAGCGGCACCTGCCGGTGGGTGCACACGACCTGGGTGGCCACGGCCTCCTTCAGGCGCCGCAGTGAGCGCAAACCTGCTCGCGGATCCAGAGAGAAGGGGAGACTCGACGAGCACAAGACCAGGGCTCCCCAGAAAGACCAGGAAGTTCCAAGGAGGACAGACAGCAGTTTCTAGAACCTAAGATTCCAACATCCAGAACAAAGTTTTCTAGGACAGACGTAGCAACAGGTTGAACAACGAAAAAGTCACAAAAACGTAACACGGGGTGTGTCAAACGCAGTTAAGCTGAGTTTGGGGGAAACTCACTATGTTCCCACCAGAGAAAAGGCTCACAGCACTCACCCCGCAGCTCCCCTCGACCACCAGGGAGACAGGAGGGCGTGGCGGGGCCGGGGGCCAGCGCCAGCAGGGGAAGGGAGGCCGTGGGGAACGCTCCGCACAGGGAACGGGCGGCCGGAGAGCCTCGGGGAGCCCCAGCCAGAGGGCCCCAAAGCGGAGACGCCACAGCCAACCCCGAGTGAGGGACTCGCCCACGGCCCCCGAGCCCCTGGGGGGCGGGGGATGGAAACGCACGGCGAAGCAGCTTCCTGCGCAAACACCAGCGACCAGCCCCCACACGTGCAGGAGTCGGACGCCCGAGGGCACGGCGAGAACCCTTCCCGCAAGGGCGGGCCCGGTGCGGCGCTCTCGAGGGGGAGACCACCCCCCACGGACACCGATGCGGCAGTGCCACGGACAGGCAGAGCAGGAAGACCGATCCCTCCCACGGCGGCCGAGGCCGTCTCTGCACCACCCGGTGGGCCCGGCCCACCAAAGCCCAGCCGCCAGGGTCACCACGGACACGGCCCCGCTCGGGCCTGCCCAGAGCACCCAGGCCCGGCCCGTCCTGAGCTGGAGCCGTTGCCCGCCCCCCACGGCCCCGTGGGCTCACGAGGGTGTGCGACAGGCAGGCACTGACGTCCGGACCCTGGACACTTCGCCGCGGCACCCCACCCCGGCCCCGCTGGTCCCCGCCCCACCCACCAGGGTGACACCACCCGTGGGTGACGCCATGTCCAGGGGTGAGGCTGGCCTGCAGAGCTGCCCCCAGCAACCCCGACCACCTTCCCGGTGGTCGCTGCCTCGCAGCCCCACCTGCCGTCGTGAAGGAGATGGCGGCTGAGCCCAGACAGAGAGGAAGTGCAGATGCAGTGGGGGCCGCCCGCTCACAGCCCCCGAGAGGGGCCTGCGCCCTCGGAGGGGAAGGAGGCCGACCGCTGCGCTGGCCCAGGCGCCAGGGTCCCGGGCAGAGAAGAGTGGGCAGGGGGCCGTCAGCTCCTGCTTCCGAGGGCCGGCACGCTCCGCCTCCTCCCACCCCGGACGGACAGCGGGCGGGCACCGGGCAGGGAGGAAGCCCCAGCACACCAGGGGCTCCCACATGCCCCTGACACCTTGCGCAGAGGAGGGGACACCACAGGCGGCACCAGCCCCGCGGACAGTCTCCAGGCGCCGTGTGCTGGGGGCGGGGGCGCGGTGCGGACTCAGGGGGGGCGTGCCCTTCCCGCCACGCACACCCGTCCGGCAGCCCTGCGCGACCGAGCCCAGGAAGCCGGGGAAGACCCTCTGGGCGGCAGGCGAGAGGACCTGCGGGGGTCAGGCTGGAGGTCGAGTGCCCGCTGCAGCCCAGCAGCCAGGGTGACCATGGAAACGCCAGGACACCGGCCAGCCGCCGGCCGCCCGGGGCGGAGGGCCAGGGCTTCAGTGCGGACCTCGAAGGCGGGCAAGTGCCCTCACAGGCACCACCAGAGCCGTCCTGTTTCAGGTCCAAGTCAGGCCAAACCCCGAACAATTGGAGTGGCTGTTGGAGCCTGCCTAGTCATCCCGCCTGGCCCCCGGCCACCACCCGACCACAGAGGGCAGGGGCATCTGGGCCACGTGGCTGCCACCTCTCCCAAGCCTCCCCTCCCGACCCCGCACTGGTGTCTGCCACACAAGCGCCTGCAGCCCCCGGCAGGGACGGGGTGGCCAGCGGCAGAGCCCCGGCGCCGGCGAGAGGCAGGCGAGAGGCGCAGGGGGGGGAGGCCCGGTGCTGGTGCCCACGGTCCCCTCTGGGAGGTCGAGGGGGCTCGTGGCTGGGGGCCGTCCATCACCGCCCCCCCCCCCCCGCCCTCACCAGCCCAGCAGGCACCGAGCCCAGGCAGCAGGGCCAGGCTGCCCGAGGAGAGGGCCATGCGGGTCCCGCTGGGCCACCCCGCCTGCCCGGCTGGCATGAACGCTCCGACTGCACGACTTCGCCCGCGCTCAGGCCACAGGAAGATGGTCCAGGGGAGTCTGGGGACGGGCAGGCGGCCTTGGCCACCCAGTGCCGCCCTCGCCCCGCGGGGGCGCTGGGGAGCGACGGCCGAGCAAGGCAGTGGGGACGGCCCCAGAGAGGCCAGGGCCCCGCGGGGCGCGGGCTGAGGACCCTCGGCCAGCCCCTCCGCAGGTCCCCGGGCCACGTCCAGGTCGGTCGGTCAGCTGCCCCCCAGGGGATGCCCCTCCAGGCCCCGCCCTGCTGCGTCCCCGGGGCTCGGCTCGCTCGGCCGGCTCCCGGGGCCTCGGCCTCCGCCCTCAGCCCGCATCTCCACGCTGCTAAGGCAGCCTCATCTCCGCACGGAAAGGCGGGCACGAAGGGAAAGGCGTGTACACGCCTGCGCAGCAGACGGGGCCCCTGACCAGCCGTGACGCAGGGGGCACCACTCCCCGGGCCCGCCCCCGCCCCCAAAACGCCTGGGAGCAGGCCTGTCGGGCGCGGAGGGGGCGCTGCTGGGGCGGGAGGCAAAGCGCGCACTGGCCTCGGCGGGCCGCGCCCGGCGAGGCTTCCCTTTGCGGTGACGTGCGCACGCGCGCCTGAGGCCCCCAGTCTGTCCCCAGGAAGCTGCCGCTCTCGTGGGCAGCGTGGAACGACCCACGTCTGGTCCACGTGGTCCAGAGCCGGTGCTCCCCGCCACAGCGGTTATCTGCCTGGCGGGGGGGGCCTTCCTGCAGGGCCGACAGCGCCCCCTGGTGGACACAGAGTCCGCTCCGCGGCACAGGACAGGGAGGCGGCTCGGCCAGGCGCCAGTGTCCGGGCAGGTCTCCCCGCTCCTGCGAGCCTGGGGGTGGGCCCCCACAGCCGGCCCCCCACGGCCGGCTGGGCCCACACCCACTTTCCGCACACACGCATCCCTCAGCCTCCGGGAGCCGTGCTGGGAGGTCCTGACGGCAGCGGCGGGGTGGGGGTGCTCGGACACACCCCGGAGGCCTTGCTGAGCAGGCCGAGGGGGCCAGGGTGGAGAGCAGGCCCACCGCCCCAGCTGCCCACCTCCCGGCCGCGACTGCCCGCCCGTGCAGCCGAGACTCGGGCCCCCAGCCCAGCGGGTCCCGGGCGGCCCTGGATTTGTGCGGTCAGATGCCCGAGGGGAGGGCGCCTGGGCCTCCAGGGGCAGCCGCGGCTCCGCGGGCCCTGGAGTGCCCGCTCCGGGCAGGCAAGGACGAGACGCCGCCTCTAGCCAGGGGGCCGGCGAGCGGCCGCGCAAGCCCACCCTGCCTGCTGCGCAGCGCCCAGGGCCTCGGGGCGGACGCCGCCTGCCGCACCGGGTCTCACTGCTAGGGGCTGCGTCGCCCCGCCCGCCCCTGGGGCAGCGCCTCACCGCCGAGGGGGGGGTGAGCGGCACGCTCCCTTAGCCGTGGCCCCGCGAGGCCAGACGCCGCGCCCAGGGGCAGCGCCCGGGGACGCCGGCCAGCGGTGGAGCACACTCCGGGTCTGCCCCCCCCCCCCCCCGCACAGCACCCCGAGGAGCGGCCCCGAGGAAGAGGAGCAGCTGCTGCCCCGGGGACCCAGGAGACCGGCTGGGTCCCCCGTCCCGCCCGCCCTCCGCCCTTCTCGGTCCGGGCGTCTGCGAGGCAGGGGCTCGCCCCCCACCCACGCCGAGTCACGCTCCGGCCTGGCGCACCCCACAGGCCTTGGGGGTGCCGTCCTCCAGCTGCCGAACCTCCGCCCACCCACTGTCAGGGGCCCTTCTCGGTCCCCTGGCGGCTCAGGGCCGTGCCCCCAGCTCCCACACACGGCGGCTCCCCCGGGGCCCGGCCGGCCTCTGCTCCGGCCTCCGGCTGGACTCTGCTCTGGCCAGGACGCCGCCCCCGTCCTTTTGGTCCCTGCGCGTGTCCCATGGGACTCAGAGGGTGCGCGGTCTGCGCCCTCGGGTGCACTGCTCTCCACGGCAGGTCAGGCCTGGGGCTCATCCTGCTTCGGGCTCCGCACGCAGGCGGGACCCCCAGGGCCCGTCCCTCTCCGCCTCACTCTGCCAGCACCACGGCCCCCTGGCCCACCTGTGCTGCCTCTGCAGGCGGCTGGGCAGTCTGTGCGCCCCTCTCCGGGGACCCCGCCGGGCCCCTGCCCGCATCAGGCCCCTGCCCGCATCAGGCCCCGGCATCCTGCGGCGCCGAGCCTGTGTCCAACGTGCGGTCTGCAGAGACCCCCGCTCCCCGAGAGGCCTCTC